ATTGGACTTTGTACAACCATTTCCATTTTCATTGCTGATAAAACAATTAGGGCTCCTCCTTTTTCAATAACATCTCCTGCTTTAATTTTTATATCAATAACTTCACCTGGCATTGGAGCTCCTATTTCTTTTTCATTTCTTTTGTTTGCTTTTGGATGTAAGTGTATTTCCTAAAATGAATTAATGAATGAATGAATGAATGAATGATTGTTTTCAATGAATACTCCTTATCATTGTTTTGTTGATAGCTGCCTATATATATATATGTATCTATTACCTTAACAGCTTCCTTATCTTTAACCATTACAGATCTTAGTTGTCCATTCATTTCAAAAAATACTTCTCTTTCTCCTGCTTTTGTTAAATTTTCATTCATGGCCAAAGCTTTCACACTTATTGTTTTCCCCTTACTTATAGATACCTTTTGAACAAAGTAATGTTGTGATTATTATTATTTTTATGTAGTAAGTTTAGTGTTTGGTTGTCTAAGTAGTAAGTTTAGTTTTTGGTTGTATAAGCAGTAAGTTTAGTGCTGAGTTGTCTAAGTTGTAAGTTTTGTGTTGAGTTGTTTAAGTATAAGTTTTGTGTTTGGTTGTCTAAGTAGATAGTTTAGGGTTTGGTTGTTTAAGTTGTAAGTTTTGTGTTTGGTTGTCTAAGTAGTAAGTTTTGTGTTTGGTTGTCTAAGTAGTTAGTTTTGTGTTTAAAAGAAAGCTTAAGGTATTCAAAAAATATGATACTCACTTCAAATTCTTCACCAACTTTGGGCCCTGTTAAGAATATTCTAGTTTTTAATTTATCAACAGGTCCAAAACTTTCTCTAAATGTTAAATAATCTTCTGTGACTTTAGGGTAAAGAGCTGCACTCATGACATCACGTTCCGTTATGTTATCATAAGTGCTTTCAAGGGATTTTTTGAGATTTTCAAAATCTAAAGGTTCCATAGATGAACCAGGTCTACCTTCAACTCTAGGCATGTCTTTCAAAACCTGAAATTTGTTTTGCTTTTATTAAATTAAAAGAAGCATTTT